CGGGGCCCTGGCAAAAGCACAACTGTGAAGCTAGCTTAAATGGATTCGTGAAGGCTACTTATAACATTGTAGGAAAATGTGACTATCGGCCCTTCATCAAATTAAGCGAGCAATGATGACTATAGCTCTATAGCAATAATTTATGGTCTTGAGAGTCCGAGAGTTGCAAGCTTATATGACTGCATCTAATTATTCTAATACGTCTATGAAGTATCCGAGCCTTTGGACCATTCTAAGAGGGGTAATCTAGGATGTAAGAGTGCCACTTGACTTCAGCAAAACAATGGGAATTTGGTATAAACAAGTATCAAAGATGGATTAGGACATTGAAATGGGCATTTCCAAGTAATCGGCTTCGAGCTAATGATGTACCAACCTGTCTTTCTTTTTCGACCTGCTCTTCAAGAAGGGCAATATTTTTTTTCTGTGACTCCTGTTCAGTTTGTCTCAGCAACTCTAACTCCTGCATACTGACTTGATGAGCTTCATCCTTAAGACGAAAGCGGGCGTGTTCTTCACGTAACAGGCGAATCTCTGCATGTAACGCAACAGTATCTTGATGAAGAGTAGTTGGTGATAGGTCAGACGATGAAGCAGATAGGGCTGAATCAGGTTCAGAGTTATATGAGTTTTTATGAGGTCCACGCAATGAAGCGATCAGCTGATAAAAGGGCAATTCGAAGTTAATATTTTGATAAGTTGAAGAAGGATAATTAACATGTGATTTTTAGCGAATAGATAAATGGTATAACTTCTTTAAAACTTATTTTTATAAATTTCTCAACAAAAAATCATGCATTTGAGAGTTCTTAAATAGAGGTATCAAAACACGGTTAAATACTTCATTCTTTTTCATATTTAAGTACCAGTAAATCAGTAATTTGAGACTGGTAGTAGAATTGGGTGAATACATTTCATATTATTGAATTACACATAGCCTTGCTATCCAAATGGTATTCTCAACCAGAGTGGACTGCAATTTCAACCTCGCCTACGTCTTATCAACACCCACAGCGGGAGTCTAAACCTGGTGCGTGCAATCTTGACACATTAACCGCTAAGCCACATTGCCACGTCTGCTATTGGGTCATAGGGTGGATAAGATAGGCAAGGCATTTTCTCATATCGCATTTTTTAGTGGGATTGTCGATGAAGCAAAGTAATATTTGCTTTGACAATTACATTACTAGTTTTTTCGTAATGGTTAACCTGTCGAGATTACATGCAACACTGTGATGGTTCGACTCCCTAGGCTTAGGCGATGTCAAAACAATAATCCAACTTGCACGAGAACACTTTTGGGGAAAGCAAAGCCATGCGAAATTCAATGGAAACGTCAGCTCTACTCATATGATTGTGGGAAAATTCAATAACCAATCTTTTATCCTATTAAATTAAATTGGATGAATACATCTCATATAAATGATGTACTGGCAGTCTCAAAATCCTTCTTATGAACGTAAAATCATTGTATTGTCATAAAATTTGGAAACTTATTCAAAATAAAATATACTGGTATTACATTAACAAATTTCTTTTGTAAGATGATAATTTCTTTAGATGAATAATGTTTGATTAACCTTATTTTCACTTTGTCGAAATGATGAGAAGAACTTATAGAGCGCACCCAGTATGCTTCATTTGTCATAATATTCATGATAATCTCCAAAATCGGAATGTTAAATGGCATCCAGTGAGGGTATCCATCCACATAATCGAATCACAATTCTTCCTGTTTATTAATTCTTTGTCCAATCGTTCTCATCTCTCTCCACTCCATCCAATATCCTAGTGATTTATCATTATCACTGAACTCTGCCTTCTATAGACGAAGTGCTATCTTCACCTCTGTCCTCATTTTTACAAATGCTTTTCAACGATATGTTACCAGTCAATTTAGTGAATCGTAGCCACCTTGCCATTTTGGATGCTGTCCTTAGTGCTTATAGATCCCAATTAGCATTTACATTCAATTATTCACTTAACCCAATACCTAACTAATCACTCGATCCTGGATTCAGTTTCCGCCGTATATGCAGATTTGTTGGCATGGCCAATCTCAAAAATAAAATAAAAAATATGCGAGGACTGCTCTCAACTGTCATAATAACATCTGCTGTCCTGTCGAAGTCACTTAGTTTTCGTATTTTAGTAGAGTTTCGAAACTACCAGTAAATCAGTAATATAAGATGAATTCACCCTATTTCATTTAAGGTGATGAATGACTGGTAGTAGAATTTTCCCACAATGATATGAGTTACTTAGGTTCCAGGAACTCTGTGTACAAATTATCTTTTTCCCACCTCCACCCCATTCTCTGATGGCTCCACTGCTAGTTTCCAAGTGAAACTCTAATGCAGAAATTTACAGCTTCATTTATCCACTTATGAACCAATTGAAGCATTCTTTTAACACTTTCCTATCCTAAGTCCTATCTAATACCCCTTTACTCAGCCCGGTGTGTGTACGCAAGTTATAAGTATCGTTGTCAGACCTGCCATGGACCACACTTGCACAGACTTAATCGATGTACCAAGAGCAGGTGAAATAATGCCCCTAGCCTCCGCTGAGGCACTTCAATAGATTTGGATCCTGAAATTACTATTTATAATTAGGACATTTTTGATCCCGTACATCTACGTGCCATGATAGACCCAACCTGGCATTAACCCTAAATTTGGCAGCTCTTAATGCAACTATTTTCTCTTAACTTATAGATTCACGTCCTGGAGATGCCTACTACTAAGCTTAGAGTGATTTTTTGATCAAGGCATCTCGTTCTTGCGGTTTTAGCTAAAACCGGAGTTTTTCCAAGTTTCTCTAAACAGAACTAAAAATCATCACTAAATCTTCCCTCTTCCGATTTCCTATTCATTAGGGACTTTGACAAGTGATGAAGATGGTCAGTATATAGAGAATTGAATGGGAAGAGTAACAACAAAAATATTATCTTATACTAGAACTAACCTTATCTTTCATGGCCAGGATATGATTAGCTTTTGCTCGATACTCATTCAATTCACGAGTCGCACGAGAGAGTTCCTTCCGGGCGAGTTCGGCTTGAGCAGAAGCTGTCGTAGCTTGTCGACTAAGTTCAGACTTGCTTGCTTCGTTGGAGGACTAAGATTAGATGGCAAGTAGTGAAAGAAATAAAATAATTAAAAATCAATTTTTAAATGTAAGGAAGAAAGTAAGTAATTAATGTGCTGAATAAGCAAGATGCTGAATATACAAAAAGATATAATACCAAAATAATGAAAAGATTGCAGATCTTATTTATCTGCAAATCTCATAAAAATTACATCTTTTAGATTTCGCTTAAGACGTCAGTGGAGCTGATCTATAAAGAATATTGAAATAATAAAAGACCGTTGAGACATTTTAGATAAATCGCGAAAATGCAACGGAAAAAAGCTATTAATGCGAAAACGAATTAATATATTCAAGAAAAAGATACTTGCAAGTGCATTTTGTAACGATTCATTTCGACGCCTGGCATCCCTTAATTCAGCTTGTATGGCATCTAGGTGAGAGGACTCTTCACATCGCGAATGAGCTGAAGTCTCGCCAGGGCTACTTAAGGAGGAATTTGACTCAATATGCATTGGACGCGCATTTTTAATTAGAACATCCTCCACAGCGACCTCAAGCTCCCGTACTCTAGTTGCGGAGACCTCAAGGTCGTTAGATGAAGACTCCAGCTTAAAAAAATAGTGGGTGGGTGGAAAAACGATAATAAATTCTAATCGGGAATAATCATGAGGGATTTTATATTTTTCAAAGTAAGAATCCTTTAATGCTATCTAACGCTCAGTGCAATTCGTTGTTTTCAAAAATACCCAAGATTAAATGATCATTCTTTCAGGTGAAATGGATATTGTACTTTAGGCTCGGATTAAAAATTACCTTTGATGCTTCATGAAAGTCAAATCCAATAGAAAAACGATTAAAAAGTAGCCACACTGATTTTTATTCTTTATTCTAATCCGACGAATAAGTCCGTTTAATTTTAGATTTGAGCACAGCCTGATGTCATGTGTTGAAACAAAATATAATTTCTTGCTGTACAATATCATCTCTAATAAACGGTTAGTCTTGCTTCCAGACTAACTCGTAGCTAATACAACACCAATCGCAAACAACGAAGGCCTTATGTTACGCAAACCAAGAAAAAAAAATTATTC